TTTTTTTTTTCTTTTATTCTACTTGATGACCTTGGGTGATTTGATTGTGGTGTAAGGTGGGTTCAGTTGACTGGCTTCATTTCTGGAATATTTAAGATGGCCAAGACTCAGCTCAGTACTCCTGGATTGCATGCTCTGACTCTGGGGGACTGGTATCAGGTCTCCACTTTCTTCTCTGACTTTTCAAGGTTAGGAACTTTCTGGGAGGACTGAGGTGCTCCTGGACCAATATAAGGGGCAAGGTGCTGCCAGATCACTGGTCACAATACTTCAGTGGATAGTACCAGCCAAAGCACTTCATAGGGCTGTGGCAGCAGTATCTGCCCTTATTCTTTTTTTTTTTTTTTTTTTTGCATTTTTAGTAGAGACAGGGTTTCACCATGTTAGCCAGGATGGTCTCGATCTCCTGACCTCATGATCCGCCCACTTCGGCCTCCTAAAGTGCTGGGATTACAGGCGTGAGCCACCGCGCCCGGCCTTATCTGCCCTTATTCTTATGTGCCAGTTGCAATTCCCACTGCAGTATGTATGGGTTTATGCTCGTCAGCTGCAGCACGGTGCTAGCAGGTGCCAGGGTGCTGACCTTTGTGAGAGCATTCGCAGCAATTGCCAGTATTGACAGCATTGCCTTTTGTGGGCCAGTGGCTGGCCGTCATGCAGGTGTTTGCATTGACAGCACGACTAGGGGGCATAGGGCTTCCCGGCAGCAACTGTGCATACCTTCACACTGGTGGCAGTGTTATCATGGGTTTAGGGTGCTCTGGTTGGCACAGGTCTGTGTGGGCCTTTTATGCATGTTCCTGCAGGTGGCGGTGGCTACTCAGGGTGCGGGCGGGTCCATTTTTTCTATGCCTAGTTTCTGCCGGCAGCTGTTTCAGCACAGAAAGGGGGTACTGGTGGGGGCAGTGCTGGCATGCCTTCTGCTTGCCAATGATCTGACAACAATGGTGGTGCAGTGGGGGGAAGAGGTAGGGTGCTGTGCACTCATGCCAGGAGTAGTGGCATCGCAGGGTGCACACAATTATGTGTACTGGTAGAGAAGGGAAGACAAGATTCCCCCCCCCTCCCCACACACACGAGTACCAGTAAAGCAATGTTGGAGGTCGTCATGGGTGAGTGCATGTAGGCAAAGTGGCACAGGGGAGGCTGCTGTAGTGGGAGGATATGGGCTAGCTGGGCTTGTCTTCTGGGGCAGCTCTGTTCCAGGACTTTGCAGGTCAGATGCTGTCCACCAGCACAGGAACTGTGATGCAGGACCCCAGGAGGTACTTAGGGGCTGCACTGCAAGGAAGCATGGCCAGACTGGGGCCCTGGGAGAAGCCAGCAGAATGAGGGGTGCTCAGATTGGACTGGCCCTGTCTCATGGGCAAAATCACCCTGCAGAGTTCAGGTCTGACAGTTCCCCTAGGGCTTAAGTCTCCTGTGGGAGGCAGTCAAGCCTAGGGGCATGGGCAACCCTTGTTGTGCTTCTCCAGATGTTCTGGCATCAAGTCTTCCAGCTCTGCTCCAGCTTGAATTCTGCCCCTACCACTTCTCTGAGCACCTTTCCCTGCTAATCCAAGTGTCCGTGGCGGTCAAGGGTATTTTTCCTGCTATGATTCCAGAGGCCCATGTTGAAAGTTGGTTGCTCCTTGACTGTTCAACTCACCTTTTCCCCCAGGTGTTTCTGGGAGCCAGGAGCAAGTCCCAGTGAACAGTAGCCCTGTGCAGGGTTCCCAACTTCCTCCCCATTCAGCCCAGCATCTGTGTCTTCCCTCCATCCACCCTCAATGCCTTCTCTCTGAAGATCTGCTAGGATTGTGTCTTCCCAATGCCCCAACCAGTCTTCCCAATGCCCTAACCCTTTGTGGGAGATGTTCCTTCTGGCTACATCTAGTTGGCCATCTTGCCCCTCAGGAGAAAACAATTATTTTTATTTAATAACTTTTAAACATTACTTTCTGTGGCTCTTTTAGGAATGCCCAATTCTTCTGGACTCATGAACCGCCGTGATGCCATTTCCAAAACAGATGCCACTGTGGTGGCATTACTGAAGGAAGCTGGTGCCATTCCCCTTGGCATAACCAACTGTAGTGAGTTGTGTATGTGGTATGAATCCAGTAACAAGATCTATGGCCGATCAAACAACCCATATGATTTTCAGCATATTGTAGGTGGAAGTTCTGGTGAGTTGGACATTTTAGTAGGGCATCAAGAGCTGTGTTAACAATAATAATTATGAATTGTATTAATAAACCTGATACAGTATAGCATCTCTAACCTATAAGAATGGATGCAAAAACCCAGGGTATGTGTGTGTTGATGGAGAAGAAATGGGAGTCATGTGAGAGCCTTGGTTAACTCTGATATTTTGAAGATAGATAGAGGAGAAGTAGCCAGCAAAGGGAATTGAGAACGAACTACAAGTGATGTAGATAGGAAACATCATAAAGTGTATAGAGACTAGAAAAAAAAGGTGTATGGAGACTAGAATTGACAAGACTTTTATTAAGCCTGAATGGATGCATACGTGGGTTAGCAAAATATGATGTTTAAACTTGTGGGTGCTAAAGCTACATAGACATTTGAGATTTCTTTTACTATATGACCTTAGTCACATGAAGTAGGTGCTCATTAAGTCAGTTTCCTTTGCTTGTAAGATGGCCATATTAAAGAAATCAGACTTGTAAGGTTACTGTGATGATTAAAAATTTAAGTGTGACTTCAGGTTTCCGGTCTAGCATATATGGGGTTTAGAAGTTTTTACTCCAATTCACACAATAAGAACAAAAGCTGAACAAACTAAAAATTAACAACCATTATTAGATTTATCAATATGCCGAGGTAATGGGAAAACCACTCTTCCCAAAACTGAATGAAAGACAGGCAGATACAAAGAATTGGAACTTGCTAGAACAGAAGCCTAGGAGCAGAAAATTTCAGGGGAACCAGCACAGCAGTAGAAAAACCTAAACTATAATTGATCACTTGCTGGAGGTTCATTTTGAAAAAGTTTAAGAGTCAAAATGTATGTGGTGGTTGGGTGGGGGGATCTTGGGGGCCTCACACAATTTCAAAAGTTTTACCTTCAGGAGCCCTACTGTGTTCCCAGGTGAAGATCGGAGAGAAATCTTCTCTTGCTTCTTGCACAGGGAGGGAAAAAGTAGCCATTTTGAAATACTACTTCCAAAGCCTACTGTTCTTCTAACAAGGAATTTCCTCAGAGAAACTATTTTTATCAGAACCTAACTTAGTAACGTTTTATAAGAAACTAATGGACTTGACCTAGGGGAAAGAAAATATCCAACTCCAGTCCTGTCTAGGTTTCCTGTCCTACTGAAGGGGTCAAAGCAGAATAAAATTGGGAAGCACATGTTAGGGTCACAGAGCAGGGGCACATGCTAACTAAATGACTGAGACCTAATCATATGATTATAAAATACTTCCTCTCCTTGCCTCCACACACCTTATCACTACACCAATAGGGATTTTCTATAATGGGGGTTCTATATAAACCAGAAGAACTGTACATCATAGGTGTTATTTAAGAAGTCTCTAGGGAAACTCAAAGACAACAGAGGAGGTGGAAACAATGGCACCAGTTGAAAATTTTACACCTGAAACCTATGGCTACAGCAGACAGTAAACACAGACTAACCCCTAGCCAGGGAAACATAAAACCTCACGTTAAAGGCCAAATACCCCCAGTTCTTTTATCTCAGTACATCATGTTTGGCTTTCAACAAAACGATTATAAGGCATACTAAGACAAAATCACAGTTCGAAAAGACAAAGCAAGCATCAAGATTAGCAATATGGCAGAGATATTGAGATTATCAGACTGAGAATTGAAACCATTTGTGATTAATATGTTAAGGGCCACAATGGAAAAAAATGGTCAACATGCAAGCACAGATCTGTAATGTAAGAAGACAGATGGGAACTTCAAGAATCAAAAGCAAACGCTAGAAATAAAAAAGTTATAACAGAAATGAAGAACATCTTTGATGGGCTCATCAATATGTTGTATACAAAATAGGAAACCTTCAGTGATATGGAAGATCTGTCAACAAGAACTTCCAAAACTGAAAATAAAGAGGAAAAAGAATGAAAAAGACAGAACAGACTATCTAATAATTGTATGATTACAAATGCATATAATACACATATATAATTGGAACACTAGGAAGAGAAGAAGGAGATTTTAAGAAACAACAATAAATGTTTGAGAAGAACTACACCTAGCATACTGTTTCATCCTTAGAAGATTAAAGAGAAAGAAAAAAAATATTTAAAGAAGAAGGAAAAACATACCTTATCTATACAGGAGCAAAGATAGAATTATATTGGTATTTTCTTCAGAAACCATGCAAACAATAAGAGATGGGCATCCACTTTGGGAGGCCAAGGCAGGTGGATCACTTGAGGTTAGGAGCTCGATACCAGCTTGGCCAACATGTTGAATCCGCATCTCTACTAAAAATACAAAAATTAGCCAGGCCTGGCAGCAGGCGCCTGTAATACCAGCTACTCGGGAGGCTGGGGCAGGTGAATTGCTTGAACTCGAGAGGTGGAGGTTGCAGTGAGCTGAGATCATGCCACTGCACTCCAGCCTGGGTGACAGAAGGAGATTCCATCACACACACACACACACACACACACACACACACGGGAGTCCAATATTTAAACCATTGAAAGAACCATCAACTTAAAATTCTGTCTAGCAGATCTATTCTTCAGAAATGAAAAAGAAATAACGATACTCTGAGACAAAGAAATATTGACAGAATTTGTTGACAGTGGGGCAATAGAGCAAGAATGTTAAAAGATGTTCTTCAGAGAGAGAGAAAAAAAAGAATACAGGCCAAAAACCTGAATTCATGTAAAAAAAAAAAAAAAAAAGAAAGAAAGAAAAGAAAATTATTAGAGAAAGATTGAACAAAGTAAAATAAAGTATTTTTAAATTATTGATTGATCTAACATGTAATTGTTCAAAATAATAATGCCAAAAATGTATTGGGTGATTATAGCTTGTGTGTCAGTGAAATGAATGACAACAATGTTATATGGGATGGGATAAAGGAATTGGGAATGTTCTTTTATAAGATAACTGCACTACTTGGGAGGTGGCAGAGTATCATTTGAAGGAGACTTGAGTTAGTTCTAAATGTATATTGCAAACTCAAGGGCAAATATTAAATTTTAAAAAAGTATACTTTAAGTGGCAAGAGAGGAGAATAAATGGAAACATACAATATAGTCAGTTAAAATCAGAGACTTAGCCTCCCACACAGTAATAGTGGGAGAACTTAACACCCCACTGAAAATATTAGATAGACATTGAGACAGAAAATTAACAAAGATAATCAACACCTGAACTTAGCTCTGGATCAAGTGGACCTGATAGATATCTACAGAACTCTCCACCCCCAAACAATGGAAAACATATTTTTTTCTTTCTTTTTTTTAAAAAATTATTTATTATTATTATACTTTAAGTTCTAGGGTACATGTGCATAACGTGCAGGTTTGTTACATATGTATACTTGTGCCATGTTGCTGTGCTGCACCCATCAACTCGTCAGCACCCATCAACTCGTCATTTACATCAGATATAACTCCCAACATATTTTTTTTCATCATCACATAGCACTTACTCTAAAATTTATCACATAATTTGAAGTAAAACATTCCTCATTAAATGCAAAAGAACTTAAATCATAACAATTTCTCAGATTACAGCACAATCAAATTAGAACTCAAGATTGAGAAAGTGACCCCAAACCAAACCACACAACTACGTGGAAATCGAGCAACCTGCTCCGGAGTGACTTCTGGGTAAATAATGAAATTAACAAAGAAATCAAGAAGTTCTTTGAAACTAATGAGAACAAAGACACAATATATCCGAATCTGGGCCACAGCTAAAGCACTGTTGAGAGAGAAATTTATAGCACAAAATCCCCACATCAAAAAGCTAGAAAGGTCTAAAACTGACAATCTAACATCACAACTAAAAGAAGTAGAGAAGCAAGAGCAAACAAATCCCAAAGCTAGGAGAAGACAAGAAATAACCAAGATTAGAGCAGAACTGAAGGAGATAGAGACACAAAAAATCCTTCAAAAATCCATGAATTCAGGAGCTGTTCTTTTGAAAAAATAAATAAATAAATAAAATAGACCACTAGCTAGACTAATAAAGAAGAAAAGAGAGAAGAATTAAATAGACAAAATCAGAATGATATTACCACTGACCCAACAGAAATAAAAACAACCATCAGAGATTACTATATACATCTGTATGGACAGAACTAGAAAATTTAGAAGAAATGGAAAAAAATTCCTGGATGCATACTCCTTCCCAAGACTGAACCAAGAAAAAATTGAATCTCTAAATAGAACGATAATGAGTTCTAAAATTGAAGCAGTAATTAATAGCCTACCAACTGAACCACGTAGCTAATCAACCCGAGCAGGTGTTCCGTTTCTAATAGTGACCGGATTCTTTGATTGAGTCTTCTATAGCCATACAGTATAGTTTTTGATGCACTGTGGTCCGAGAGACATTTGTTATCAATTCCTTCCTTGGGTCCATATTTGGCATTGGCATTTACCTTCATTAATTGCTCAACTTTGGGGGATAAGTGTATTGGTCTTAGAAGAATGCATCTTTGTTGATTGGGTGCAGATTCTTAGAATGTCTCATTAGTCTACTTGCTTGCAGGGAGATGAGTCTCAATTCTGATATCCTTGTAACTCTTCTGTCTCATATGAATCCCTGTCCTTAACTGTTAAGTGGGCGTGTTGAAGTCTCCCATTATTATTGTTAATCGGGAAGCTCCCCTCTTTGTAAGTCTCTAACACTTGCCTTATGATCTGGGTGCCCTGTATTTGCGATGCCTATATATTGCGGTAGGATACGTTAAACCGCTTCCTGTTGAAATTGATCCCTTCCATTAGTAACTGGCCCTTGTTCTTTGCTCTTTCTTGATCTTTGATACGTCTAACATCCGTTTTCTCAGAAGACTAAGTATTGCACCCTGCTTTTTTGTTTCCATTTGGCTTGTGAGTATCTTCCTCCAGCTCTCTCTCTCTTGAGCCATGTATGTCTCAGGTTTTTCCTTATCCAGGATCATTCGGCCTTATAGAATGAGTTACCAAAACAAATCCCTCCTTTTCATTTTTG